ACCGGGGGACCCCCCTGGCTGCCCCTGAGGCCGACCCGGTGACCCACTCGGTGGCAGGCTGAAGGCAGTCAGGCTCGCGGTGAACGGAGGGGCTGAAGAGCCAGCGGCTGCTCTCAAGGAGCCTCCGCGGCTGACTGATCCAGAAGGGGTCTCCGTCCCCACAGAGAGGCTCGAGGCGCCGCTCTGGAGCCTACCCGTGCCTCTCTCCCACGCCCCCACACATCCCCCCGCCCCCACAAACCTGGCTGTCGAGCATGGGGCCGCCTGGCTTACAGAGAAGCCCCAGTTTGGGCAGTTCCAACACAAATCGCGCGCTCAACGGTCGCCAGGAAAGCCAACAGGCCCGGACCGGCTCGCGACGCCAGGCGCCTTTCACCTGTGGCGCGCGGAAGGCTGTGGAGCCGCTGGAGTCTCCCTTGGGCCTGCCCTCCGGCCTTGCATGGGCGTGTCTACCCTGCAGCCAATCAGCGGTTGCATGGGCCTATTCTACAGCCAATCAGCGTCGGGACAGGCCTCTGCTGCAGGCAATCAGCGACTACACACCTACTCCTCAGCCAATCAGAGGCTGCACGCGCCCTTACTCTGCGGCCAATCAGTGAGGCAGCTGCCGCCTGGCAAGCAGGACTTGAACCAATCAGGAGCGGCGGGCAGTGCCGTGGGGATGTGGGTGCCCGTTTTCTTTCCATGAGGCTTTTCTTGATGTTGCTAATGAAAACCACTCTACTTTCGTCACTCTGATGGCTCGGTTCCTCGTTCTACTCATTAAACACTTTTCTTAACCATTGAACATTTTCAAAACACTGCTACTAAATTATAGTTTTGCTTACGGTCTGACTACTTCACTAGAACGCAAGCTCACTGTGGGCAAAGTTTTGTCTTTTTTCACTGTGGTTTCTGGCATGCTTGGAATATTGAGGTTATTTAATATTCATCAATACGTTTTCATTTAATCATGAACAGGCCGAGGGGAGAGGAACTCAAAGTTTCGTATTAGTAGTATTAGACTCATCTTACTGAAATATAGCTCTGACCATGTATCCCCTGTATGTATGTGCTCTACCTCCCCTACTAGACTGTAAGCTCCTTCTGGGCAGGATCTGTGTCAGACTCATCTTTGTATTTCCCATAGTACTGTCAATAAATATTTCTTAAATGGACCACCACAACAAAAAAGTTTCATGTTAGCCATGTGTTTAGTTGGTCAGATACTGCCAAAGAATTTTCCAAAGCGGACAAACCAGTTTATACCTGTGCCAGTAACCTATGAGTTACAGATGCTCCACATCCTTGTCAACACCTGACAATAACTAATCTTTAATTTTAGCCGTTCTGGTGTTTGTGTAGTGATACTTTATTGTAGTTTTAATTGCGCATCCCTGAGGGGTAATGTTATTTTTATGTTTTTTTTTTAATTGAAGTTTAACCAACATACGATGATATATTAGTTTTAGGAGCACAATATAGTTGTTCAACAATTCTATACGTACTCAGTACTCATCACCCTACCTGTATATTTTATTATTTTTTAAATTTTTTAAAAGATTTTATTTATTTAATTGACAGAGAGAGAGACAGAGAGAGAGAGACAGAGAGAGAGGGAACACAAGCAGGGGGGGTGCGAGGGGGAGAAGCAGGCTTCCCGCGGAGCAGGGAGCACCATGCGGGGCTCGATCCCAGGAACCTGGGATAATGACCTGAGCCAAAGGCAGATGCTTAATCGACTGAGCCACCCAGGCGCCCCCTAACTGTATATTTTAATCCCCATTCTCTATTTCACTCATCCCCCCCATCACCTCCCCTCCTGCAACCACCAGTTTGTTCTCAGTATTTAAAACTGTATTTTTTGTCTTTTTTTCTTTGTTTACTCATTTGTTTTGTTTCTTAAATTCCACATATGAGTGAAATCATATGGTATTTGTCTATGTCTGACTTATTTCACTTAGCACTGTAACCTCCATGTCCATCCATGTTGTTGCAAATGGCAAAATCTCATCCTTTTCTATGGCTGAGTAATGTCCCATTGTATACACGTACCACAGCCTTTTTATCCGTTCATCTATCAGTGGACACTTGGGTTACCTACACATCTGAGCTATTATAAATAATGTTGCAGTAAGCGTAGGGGTGTATATATCTTTTTGAATTAGTGGTTTTTTTTTTTCCTTTGGGTAAATACCCAGTGTGGAATTACTGGATATATGATAATTCTATGTTTAATTTTTTGAGGAAATTCCATACTATTTTCCACAGTGGCTGCAGCATTTTACATTCTCATCAGCAATGCACAAAGGTCCCAATTTCTCCACAACTTTATCAACCTTATTTTTTCTGGTTTTGATAATGGCCATCCTAATGGGTATGAAATGGTATCTCATTCTGAGCTTGATTTGCATTTCCCTCATGACTAGTGATATTGAGCATCTTTTCATGTGTTTACTGCCCATTTATATAACTTCTTTGAAGAAATGTCTATTCAAGTCCTTCACTATTTAAAAAATTGGGTTATCATATTTTTTGTTGAGTTGTAGGACCTCTTTCTATATTGTGGATGTTAATTCTTTATCAGATATCTGATTTGCAAATGTTTCCTCCCATTCTGTGAGTCCTATTTCACAATGTTAAAGGTGTCATTAGAAGCTCAAAAATGTTCAATTCTGATGAAGTTCAATTTATCTCCTTTTTCTTTTGTTGCCTGTGTTTGTTGTCATATCTAAAGGATATTGGTCTGTAGTTTCATTTTCTTATAATGTCTTTTCTGGCTTTGGTATCAGGATAAATTTGGCCTCATTGAATGAGTTAGGAAATATTCCTTCCTGTTTGATCTTTTTGGAAGAGTTTGAGAAGGGGTGGTATTAATTCTTCTCTATTATTTTTTTCTAAAGATTTTATTTTTAAGTAATCTCTACAGCCAATGTGGGTCTCAAACTTAGAACCCCAAGATCAAGAGTCACACGCTCTACCAACTGAACCAGTCAGGCATCCCTAACTCTTCTTTAAATGTTTGGTAGAATTCACCCATGAAACCATCTGGTCCTGGGCTTTTCTTTGTTGGGAGATTTTTGATTACTGATTCAATCTTACTAGTTATAGGTCTATCAGATTTCTATTTCTTCATGATTGAATCTTGCTAGATTTTGTGTTTCTAGGAATGTGTTCATTTATCTAGGTTACCCAATTGTTGGTGTACAATTGTTCATAGTATGCTTTTATTATCTTTTTTATTTTGATAGAATCAGTAGTAATGTCCTCACTTTTATTCCTCATTTTGTAATTTGAGTCTTTTTCTTTCTTGGTTGATCTAGCTTAAACATAGGCCAATTTTGCTAATCTTTTTCAAAGAACCAACTTTTAGTCTTGTTGATTGTCTCTATTGTTGTTTCATTCTCTTTCAATCATCTTCATTTTAATCTTTTTATTTTGATCCTTCTGCTAACTTTAGGTTTAGTTTATTCTTCTTCGTCTAGTTCCTTAATATGTGAAGTTGGATGGTTTATTTTAAGTATTTCTTCTTTTTTAAGGTAAGCATTTACAACTTTACATTTCTCCCTGAGCACTGGTTTCACTGCATCCCATGAATTTTGGTATGCCATGTTTTAGTTTTCATTTGCCTGAGGTATTTTCTAGTTTTCCCTGCGATTTCTTCTTTGACCCCCTGGTTGTTTAGGAGCATGTTTTTTATTTCCACATATTTGTGAGTTTTCCAGTTTCCCTTCTTGTCATCAATTTCTAGTTTCATTCCACTGTGATCAGAAAAGATGCTCTGCATAATTTCCAACTTTTCAGATTTATTCAGACTTGTTCTGTGGCAAGAGGAGTCCTCCTTCCCCTATTGCAATAACCCTCCTTTTTTATTGCAATAATCCTTTTGAACAAAGTCTCTATTTAAATCCATTCATTTTTTTGTGTGGCAGACTGAAGGGTGAAGCCCAGCCTCCTCAGCCTGGCTACAAGGGGCCCTTGGAGAGCAGATGCCAGCCAGAGTTTCCAGGGGGAAAATTAACCTTGTGTCCTTTATCTCAGGTTCCATCTATTGCAGACTGACTGTCCTTGCCCAAAAAGCTACCAAGTCAACGCCCACATCCTTGCTTTGTACCTGATGTTATCACTCCCTGGGCTCCTTTTCCTCTCCTCAGCTTGGCTAACTCCTGCTTGCCCCTCAAAGTGGAGCTTGAAAGGAGTTTCCCCTCAAAAGCCTTTTCTAACCCTCTTCCCACCCCTGAGGCAGAGGTCAGAGCTTTCACCCTTGTGTCCTCAGACCATGGGCTCTACTTATCTGTTTAATATCTTATGCCCATCTTAGAGGAGGCTCATCACACTGTGTTTTAATAGGTTGTGTATTTCTGTCCCTTCTCTGAACCCCACTGATGAACTTGAGCTCTTCTGAGGCAGAAACTGTATCTTCTTCCCCTTGAAGTTCCCAGAATATAATAGGCATGCAGTAAAAATTTGGAGAATGAAGAAATGGGGAGAAAAGTAGGGATTTCTCAAGGCTTTCTTCATGAATGTGATGCAAAGGAGCGGAAATGTACTTAATTGTCTTGTAACTGACCAGGAGTGAAGTGGTGTTTGTGGTAACCTTGAAAAGAAGAACTAGAGAAACTTGGCCATTCTGTTGAAGTATCTGTGTGAGTGCAAATGAGGGTGGTCCTAACCCAGTGGTTCTCAACCGGGGAGCTTTGTGCACCATCTCCCCCTCCACGGACATTTGGCAATGTCTGGAGATATTTTTGATAGTCAAATATGGGTAGGGGAAGCCCCTGGCATCTTGTGGGAAAAGGCCAACGCCCTACTTAACATCCTACTGTGCACAGGACAGCCCCCCCCACCACCATGAAGAATCATTCAGCCCCTTATGCCCAAATATCAATAGCACTGAGGTTGTTAAGCCATGCCCTAATCCAATGCATGGGAAACTGCAGAGCTGGGGCGGGGGGTGTCAGATAGGGAATGCAGCTTGTCTGAGGAGGTGGATTTGAGCTGGTTCTCAAAGGATAAGTATGTGCCATAAAGATGGAGAAAGGAGACACTATCACAGTGAGATGAAACCGTGCGAACGAAGCAAGGAGAGCACAACAGGGCTTGGGATGTTCCAGGAGTGGCAAGGATGTGGCTGAGGTGTGTGAGGGATGGTGGCTGAGAGAAAGGGGTGAGGCAGGTGACAGTGAGATTGTGGAAATTCCTGAGTAGCTCTCCCTGGAACTGACCCCTCATCTGGAGGGAGAGGGGCAGGCATAGAAGGGTGTTTAGCAGGGAAGGGACAGATGGGCTGATGGGGAGCCTGGAGGCTGGGGAGGTAGCTGTTTTAATGGACCTAGGGAAGAAAGGTCAAGTGAGACCTGATCTGGGCATGCAAAAGAGGGGGCAGATCAGGAACTTGGTGACTCATGGGAATGGGCGATAAGAGAGGGGGAAGTGAAACAAAACCCTGGATGTGAAGAATTGAAATAGACCTTATACTTCTCCTTTGCTCACTTGCACATTAATGGCCTTTCCTTGGGACCACAGGGTTGGTCACCCACTTGATTAGGTGCAGTGGAGAAACTGACATGTGTCTACAGGTTGAAGCCTAGAGGTCGTTCGACCAGTTGAATGATTACCTGGGCAGAGTTTGGTCCTTGACTGAGTGCGCTTTGACCAGGATCCAAGAGCTGCTCACCACACACTGGGCACAGAGCCTCCCTGTGTGCATTAGGTCAGTGCATTTTCAAAACCACCAGATGAGCTAGGGAATGTTGTTATCCTCATCTGAGGGAGAAGCAAGTGGAAGCAGCAACAGGTTAAGTGGTGAAGTGGGTGTTTGAATCCTGAATGACTTTGAAGAACTTAAATTATTATTTTTTTAATTAAGGGGAAATTCATGTAACATAAAATCGATGATTTTAAAGTGAACGATTTAGTGGCATTTAGTACATCCACAACGTTGTATAACTACCACCTCTATCTGATTCTAGAACATTTTCATCACCCCAAAAAGAAACCCTACACCCATAAAACAGTCACCCTTTCCACAGTCCCTGGCAGCCCGTAATCTGCTTTCTGTCTCTATGAATTTACCTATTTTACATATTTCATATAAATGGAATCATACAATAAGTGACCTTTGTGTCTGGAGTACTTCACTTAGCATATTTTTGAGGTTCGTGTATGTTGTATGTATCGGCTTCAGCCTTTTTTATGACTGAATAATATTCTGTTATATGGATAGACCACATTTTGTTTACCCATTCATCCTTTGATGGTCATTTGGGTTGTTTCCGCCTTTTAGGTATTATGAAGGGGCTTCACAAAGACCACTTAGATGGTCTCTAGACCCAGTGATTAAAGCTACGGTGGAGAGATGAACAGGATCTGTGGGGTTCCAGAGGAGGGAATTCCAGAGTCTTCCCCAGGATAGCAGGAAGGGGGGCAAGAAGACTTCATGCTGGAAGTTGAGCCTTGAGTACTACTGGACCTGGTAGTTGCTCCTTGGGGCACATTATACCGTGTCCAAGGGGGCCTCATGGCCTCCAGTGGGGGAGGAAAAGATGCAGACTCAGCAGATTCAGGAAGTGGTTCAGATAGTGTCCTCTTAGAGGAACAGCCAGAAAGGAGTGTAAACCAGTGTCTATGAGATTGGAGAAGAGGAAAAGGTCTGTTTCACAAGAGCCTGGTGAGTACCAACCAGAAATTGTGCTCTGGTGGGAAGCTGCAGTTAATGGAGGCATGGGAGCATGACGCTCTCCTTGCCAAGATGGTGGGTATCAGGTGGCATGCCCTGTGCAACATTCCCATATCCTGGATGGAGAACCAAGGGGAGAACCAGACTTGAGGGGAGACATGGAGCCAGTTTGGGATGCATTGAAAGTGAGGAGCCTGTGGTCCTTCAGGGAGACATGTCTAAGAAGACATAGGGATTTAGAGTCCAGGAGAGAGTCCTGAGCTAGAAATATGAGCTGGAGGCCCCAGCAGCGCCCAGGCATGTCGTCCCCTTGCATTCAAAGTGCAAGGCATTTCAAAGGTTTCCTGAGTCCACTTCATGGGCTGTGTCCAAGACTGGGCTCTGAAAACACAGGGCCGGACATAGTCCCTGCCCTGGGGGAGCTTATAGTCTGGTGGAAATCAGAGTTAGATAATTACAAGATAATCTTTTAAAAATCTTTTTTTAAAGATTTTTTAAAGAAACCAAGAGTCCTACACTTAACTGAATGAACCACCCAGGTGCCCCATCTTTTAAAAAAATCTTAATATAAATTTTGTTAAAGAGTACTTTTCATACAGAGAAGGGCACAAATCACAAATGTTTTACTAAAATATCTTTCAGAGAGTGACTACATCTGAGCAGTTAGGACACAGATCAAGATACAGATCTTTACCAAAAGACCCCAGGATGTCCTCGCTGGCCCCTTCCTGTCACTACCCCCCAATGGTAATCAGTATCTAGACTTCTAATACCAAAGATTAGTTTTGTCTGTTTCTAAACCTTTACATCAAAGATGTCACATAGTGAGGACTCTTGTGTCTGGATTCTTTCACATTATGCTTGTAAGATTCTTACATGTTGTACAAAGTTGCTATTTGCTTCTTCCATTGCATGAATACTCTGCAGTCTGTCTACCTGTCTTACTGTTATGGGCATTTGGGCAGGTTCCATTTTTTCATGGCAACCATGGCTGCCATGAACATTCTCGTACACATTTGGTGAACATTTGTATGCACTTCTGTCGGATACACACCTTGGAGTGAAATTGCTGGCTCCGTGCTCAGTGTTAGTAGAGAGTGACAAACATTTTTCCAAGGGGGTTGTACCAATTCTCACTCCCCCCCACCCCCAGCAATGTATGAGAGTTCCAGATGCTCCACATCTTCACCAACACTTGATATTCTTGCACAGGGGTCATGTTAATTTTCTCTGTATCTTTCCAATTTTAGGATATGTGCTACTGAAGCATACTTGATATTCTTTAAGAAAAAAATTTTGTTGTGGCAAAGTATAACATAAAATTTACTGTTTTAAGTGTACAATTAGTGGAATTAAGTGCATTCACATTGGGCAACCATCGCCATCATCCGTTCCCTAGATGGATGAGATTCTGTACCCATTAAATATTAACTGTCCATCCACTCCTCCAACCCCCCAACCCCTTGGTAACCACTATATATTACTCTTTTTTTGTGGTAAAAAAAAACATAAAATTTACCATCTTAAATATTTTTAAGTGTGTGGTACGGTAGTGTTAACTACATGCACATCATTAAGTTCTAGGAAATCTTCATCTTGCAGAACTGAAACTCTATCTACTGAAAAGCACCTTCCTACTTCCCCTTCCCTGGGGCCCCCTCTACCTTCTGTTTTAAAAATTTGATTACCTTAGATACTTGGTATAACTGGAATCATGCAGTATTTGTCTTTTGGTGACGGCTTATTTCACTTAGTGTAATGTCTTCAACACTTGATATTCTTGATAATTGTTTTTATTATTTTAGCCAATGTGGTGGCCTTTCAGTGGCCCAGCATTGGAGTCTTTACTCACATTTCCTTGACAACTACTGACGTTACCCACCTTTCAATATGCCTATGGGCCCTTTGAATATTTCGCTTTTTTGGGTTGTCTGCCTTTTTTTTAAACTGATTTTCGGAAGATCCTTATGTATTCTTTTTTTACTGTGGATGAATCCTTTGTTAGATACATGTATTGAGAAATACCTATTCCTGCCAGAGAGTTACATTTAGAAATAGATTTACTTTTAAAAATAATACATGACACCTCCCCCCAAAAAAGAGAAAAGAAAACAAAAGACAAAATAATACATGCTCAAACGTTGATATCTCCCTCCATCCTGAGGTAAACTTAACACATAAGGATGTACTTAACAATGCCAATGATGCGTTTTTTCCCACTGGACAATATGCCCGATGAATATTATCCCCCATTTTACAGAGGAAGGAACACAGGAAGGCATGGGGGAGGTGAAGTGGCTTGCCTGATGTTTGAACACAGGAATCTGTGACTTTCAGCCATTCCAAGGAGCGTCACATTCCCATTTATAAACTTGGGCTCAGAGGGCTGTCAACTTCTAAGGAATCAAAGTCTGACATACATTTCTTCAGAGATGTCCTGTCCAGGCTCCAGTCAGAGCTGGCCCTCCTGGAGGCAGGGGGCGGGTTGGGGTCGTCATTTCTGGATCTTGATCTCTGCATACTCAGTGGTCTCCTGGTCCTGAAAGTTCTGTGGTTTCAGCCTGTGAAAGCTGAGGTTGGCGTAGTGGAGCTCCTGCTCCTTCTCAGAGGGGGAGGTGGCCCCAGCTGGGGGCAAGGGGTCTGAGAAGCTGTCTGACCGGGGTTTGCTCAGGTGATCCTGAGTGGAATGAAGGAAAGGCACTGGAGCTGGCCTTTGAGTCTGGAGAAGAGAAGTGGGGGCTGTGTGGCACTTACCCATTTATCCACTTCATGCCCATTTCCTGAGCATCCATCCATCCGTTCATTCATTCACTCATTCATTCATTTGTATCTTTAACACATTTTCATCATAATGGCATTGAATCCTTACAACTCCCCCCACTCCCCTCTGGATGATATAACTGTTATCCCCATTTTACACATGCGAAAACAGAGTAAGCAAGGTCAAGAAACTCTTCAGCACACACGACCTCTGACCTCAGACAGCCTATCAGGGCAAGGAGACAGTATCAAATTGTCTCACATACACACACATACATGCAAATGATCTAATTGCTATTTGTGATCTGACGCACAGAAGCAGCATCCACCCAGGGGCTCCCAGAGTACTGGAGACAGGCCTGTGATTATTACAGGGAGGCATGATGACCGTCTGCCCGCATAGGGCAGGGGAATATTTAAACTGGAGTATGAAAAGTGATTAGGGGTCTGGCCAATGCAAATGGGGAGGATCAGAGGAAATCATGCATGCAAAGGCACAAAGTCACACAGAACGAGCCCTGCCTGGGGATAAGGAGCTAATTTTGTGGGCAGGGGCAGGAAGTGGGCTGGAGGACTTGGCAAGGGACCGGTCACAGAACACCGAACCAGGGAAAGTGGACTACGTGTCTAATATGGTAGCTCCTAGGCACATGTGGCTACTGAGTACGTGAAACATGGCAATTCTGAGCAGAGGTGTGCCATGAGTATGAAATAAACCCTGGATTTCAAAGACTTAGTGCAAAAAGAAGAAGAAAACAAAGGAAGAATGCAGACTATCTCATTAATAATCTGTACATTGATTCTTGATGATATGATGGTGAAATAATATTTTGAATATATTGGGTTAAATAATATAATACATTAAAATTGATCTCATGCTTCTTTCTACATTTTAACTGTGGCCATTAGTAAATTTTAAGCTATGTATGTGGCTCACATTATCTTTCTGTTGAACCATGCTAATCTAGACAGTGGGGAGAAAGCACAGGGGTTACAGGTGTTTGGGGAATTTCTTGCCCAAATCTTGGGAGGAGAGGTGGAGAGGTGGAGTTGTGGAGTTGAGGCCAGTGGCCCAGCAGGGAGACGGTGAGGGCTCAGCAGAGAAGGGACTAAATGGAAAAAAAGCTTTGCTAAAAAGGGAAATGGGTGGGACTTGGTCCATCACTGGCTCTGGTGCATGGAGGAGAGGGGAGAGAAAAAGGTGACTCTGGGGTCTCTGAGTTGAGTGCAGCCAAATTTGGGGGGGTCGGTGAGGGACTCATCTTTTGGCATGCTGAGTGAGCCGCCCCATGGTCCATCCCAGGAGAGGTGTCCAGGTGGGACGCCAGATAGAAAGGCCACTCACCTGGGAGACTGTCTTCAAGGCCGGATGGACGCCATCCCTGCGCAATGCTTTCTGGCTGGATTTCTGCCTGTAGGTCTTCACTCTGAGGGGAGAGATCAGGGCCTTTCAGTCTGGCTGCTCGCTGCTGGGAGCCTGGAAGGATGACTGACTGAGGCAGGGCATGAAGGCTGATGTTTGGCTGCAGACACCAGGAGGAGAACGCATGCTCCCTCCTTCCTGACAGTGGGAACCCCTTGTGGGGAAGAGACCACTCCCGGCCTCCATGTCAGGAGGCTAGATTCCTGATGCCTCTTGGACGAATTGTACTCTTCCCTGGCTGCATCACCTCGTCAGGTTTCTTCAGCTCTGGGCTTTGAGTTTGGGAGATTCTTTGAGTCCCCTCCCTGCCCAACCCCATGAGGCCTTCACCCAAACCAGGGCCACCACTCACGCGAAGAAGACGATAAGGCAGAGACAGAGAGCAAGCAGGGCTGTGACTCCAGCTCCCCAGATGGCCCCCTGAATCACACCTGTCCTGGACCCTGGTCTCCCTGCAGGTAAGAGACCTGGGGTAAACTCCAGCCCCACCAAGCTGGCACGTGAGCATCCAGCCTTCTGGAACCCATGACCCAGGGGTGTGCCCACTTCTACCCAGGACTGGCTCCTTTGTCCCCTACCCCTCTATGTGATCCCAGCCTTCTGTTTCCCTGGCCCCTTCCTCAACCCCTCCCCCCGCCAACCTACAGATGACTCTGACCTCTAGTGCCCCTTTGCCTGAGTCAGAACCACTTCTCTCCTCAATGTCTTCTAGGGTCCTGGTTCATGCGCCCCCTTCCCTGGGCATCACCCTTCATACCTCCCTGACCTGGCAGCACCAGGATAGCCATGCTCTGTTTTCCGTGGGCATTCCGGGCCTCACAGCTGAGTCTGAGGCTGGAGCCCAGCGGCCCTCTGAGGCTCAGGGAGCTGTTGGCCCAGGGCCCCGCAGAGCTGGAGGTGATGGTCCAGGAGGCGTTGCTGTGGTTCCCCTCCAGCAGCCCCTCCCCCAGCCGCCAGCGCAGAGAGGGGGGCAGCTGGGATTGAGCAGAGCAGTGGCAGTGCAAGTCCTCACCCTCCCAGGAGCAGGAGGGAGCAAACAGCTTCGGGGGGTCTGTGGGAGGACAACAGAGTATCAGAGGAAGCCCCCCTCCCCAGGGCCCAGGCATTCTTCCCAGGTGTGTTTCAACTCACTCTTCACAAGGAGGCTCAGGGACGCTTCCAGGGACCCCAACAGGTGCTGAGCTCTGCAGATGTATCTCCCATGGTCCCCTAGTTCCACCCGGGGCAACTCCAGGACCCCAGGATTTGAGGGTTGTGAGGGCTGCAGGGTCAGGCTACCCCGGGTCCAGCTCACCCTAGCAGAAGGGTTGCTGTCCTCAGTGCAGACCAGGTGCAGGGGCTGGCCCTCCTGGACTGGGAGAGACGAACCGTTGCCCAGAGCCTCAGGTCCTGGAAAGACAGAAAGAAAGCTAAGCCCTGGCCCTCACTAGGGGTATTCTCTCTCTGTCTCTCTGTCTCTCTCTGTCTCTCTTTTCCTCACATCATGTAAATCTGTTTCTTCTCTTCCACCGCATGATCATTCGGACAGCCGAAGGGCACAGGGCTGAGAACAGGCACCACAGCCTTTGCAAGAGGCCCAGGTGCATTCTGTCTTTCACTAAGTTCACTAAGACCTGTCTAATTTAGTTGTGTCTGAGAGTCCACAGTCTTGTGAGCGAGACACCCAGAATCAGGTGTCATCAAGCAGCATGATGTGTTTTGTGATGGGAGTACAGTGTGCTCGGGGAACCCTGAGGATGGGAGTTCAGTGAGATTGTCAGGTCAGGGAGGGCTTCCTGGAGGAGGAGAGGCTTTTAAAGTGGAGCATGAGAGGGGCCGGGAGTTGGCATGGAAGGACATTGCTGGAGGCAGGCACAAAAAGTGCAGCTACAGCTGGGGTGCGAAATGGCCCTGCATGCTCAGGGAAGAACAGATAGTCTGTAAGGCTTGAGCGAATGTGTATGTTTGGGAGTGTTGACATATGATGCTACTGAGGATTCAAAAAATAATAATAGATTGGGGAAAGACAGAGGTGTGAAAGGAAATACTGATGCATGTAACAGTGGTTTACCGGTATGTATTTAACAACCAATTCATTGGGGAGGGGAGGGAAAAAATTTCTGATTTGCCAATTTCCTTGGCATAAATACTTCCTTCTTGGCCGATTTCAAGCACCCAACGAAATGTCACTGAACGCAGAATTGGGAAAACATGGATACAATTGGCTCTTGCCAGCCAGTGAGAGCCAACTTCAGTACGCCACTCAATGCAACACCTCACCTCAAAAAACCATGTTTTCGTCTGACAAAGTCACCATATGCTAAGTCAAAAGGCCATTATTAGGCTGGAAATAAATCCCTTCAGCTAACACACAGCTGACTTCTTTAATGTAAAAAGATCTTCTTCAAATCATTAAGGAAAAGTCCACAAAGAAATACAAATGATTCTTAAACATAATGAAAGATACACAATCTGTTTAAAAAAGGATAATTCAAGTTAAAAGGACAGTGAATTCACTTAAAGATATTAGCAAGGATGAAAATGTTCAGCGGGTTGGGATTATAAACAGAACAACTTCCCGTACAGGTGATTTGGCAATATGTAGAAATTACAAACATACCCTTTGATTTGGGACTTTTCTAGACACATGCACACATATGGGGAATGTTTATACAAGTTATTTGTTACAGTATTATTTGCCTTAACAACAATCTGGAAACACCATGGCTTTCCACCAATGGGAACTCATTGAGTAGTTTACAGTATAATATACTTCTTTTTTTAAAATTTTCTTATGGGGCGCCTGGGTGGCTCAGTTGGTTAAGCGACTGCCTTCGGCTCGGGTCATGATCCTGGAGTCCTGGGATCAAGTCCCACGTCGGGCTCCCTGCTCAGCGGGGAGTCTGCTTCTCTCTCTGACCCTCTTCCCTTTCGTGCTATCTCTCATTCTCTCTCTCAAATAAATAAATAAAATCTTTAAAAAAAAATAAAATTTTCTTACTGTTATGTTAATCACCATACATTATATCACTAGTTTTTTATGCAGTGTTCCATGATTCATTGTTTGTGCATAACACCCAGTGCTCCCCGCAGAATGTGTACAGTATAATATACTTCTAATTGGAAGACATGGAGTCCTCAGTAAGAACGAAGTTTTCCTACGTACGCATGGAGACAGTAATGTACCAACGTCACTTACTTAGTTGGGACAAATGCATCATGGTGGTATTAAAACTTTTAAAGACAAGGAAAGCTAGACGAGGGCTTTATGGAACCTCTCTGTACAATGTAAACCGAAAATTACTCCACCATGAAAAGTTTATTAAAAAATAATAGCTAAGTGAGGGACACCTGAGTGATTCAGCCGGTTAAGTGATCAACTCTTGATTTAGGCTGAGGTCTTGATCTCAGGGTCCTGGGATCAAGCCAAGCCCTGTGTCATAGGGCTCCGGGCTCAGTGGGGAATCTGCCTGAAGATTCTCTCGCTCCTTCTCCCTCCGCCTCTCCCCCAGCTCCAACGCGCGCGCGCGCGTGCGTGTGTGTGTGTGCGTGTGTGTGTGTGTGTGTGTGTGTGCGCGCGCGCGTGCGCACATGTGTGCTCTCTTTAAAATAAATAAATCTTTTTAAAAAAATAATAGCTAAGTGAAATAGCCAGCTGGAAGAAAGACAAACACCAGGTAATTTCACGCATATGGGGAATTTAAGAAACAAAACAAACAAGCAAAGGCAAAAAAGAGAGAGGGAGAGACAAATAAAGAAACAGACTCTTAACTCTACAGAACAAACTGATGGTTACTGAAAGGGAAGGAGTGGGGAGTGGTGAATCAGGTAAAGGGGACTGAGGTGGGCACTTGTGATGAGCACCAGGTGATGGATGGGAGTGATAAATCACTATATTGTATACTTGAAACTAATATTGCACTGTACGGTCACTAACTGGAATTTGAATTAAAACTTAAAAAAATAATAAAGATGCAGAGCATGTATATAGCGTGGTGTGTACATATGTGTGTGCCTTTAAACGTAGATGCATAGATTATATTTGGAGAAATAACCCAGAGGGGAGGTACTTAGGTGCTGAACGTTATTTTATTCTTATTCGGTTTTTCTGGGGACTGGATAGTGTTCCCTTCAGGATCATATGTCTAAGCCCTAACCTCCAATATGGTGGTATTTGGAGGTATTTAGATGGGCCTTTGGGAGGTGATCAGGGTTAGGTGAAGAGTAGGGGCCACGGGATGGTATTAGTGCTCTTTTTTTTTTTTAAAGATTTTATTTATTTATTTGTCAGAAAGAGAGAACGCACAAGCAGGGGAAGCAACAGGCAGAGGGAGAAGCAGGCTCCTCGTTGAGCAAGGAGCCAGATGCAGGACTCGAACTTAGGACACTGGGATCATGACCTGAGCCAAAGGCAGACTGACACTTAACAGACTAAGCCACCCAGGAGTCCCTGGATTAGTGCTCTTATAAGAGGAGATACCAAAGAATGAACTCTCTTAGTTGTGTGAGAGAAAAAACCGCCAGAAACCAGCTGTTTACCAGGGAGTGAACTCTCACCGGGAACCACATTGACTGGACCCTTGACGTTGGACCTGCCTCCAGAAATATGAGGAATAAATGTCTGATGCTTAAGCCCCTCAGTCTGTGGTATTTTGTTATGGCAGCCTGAGCAGACCAAACACATTGTATGCTTACTGTTTTAAACAATAACATTATAATGTGGAAGGGAATTGCAGGAGTGGAAAGGGTCCAGATCTGAGGGGAATGGGGCAAGGTTTGGGAGGGGAACATAGCTGGGGCACTGAGGACGGCCACCCCTATCAGGCATGGAGGTCATGCAATACCCTTGAGAGCAGGTTCAGTGGTGGGGAGAAGCCAGTTTGTATGCTGAGGAGCCAGTGGGGTGCTCCCCACCTCTGCTGTCCCCGCATCTGATCTGAGCCTTTCTCCTGCCTGAGTTCTAAAACCCCAGCTCTGCTCTGAGGGGCGGAGACAGATGCCGCTTGCACCACCACCAGCCCAAGAGGAAAGGTTGTACCCTACCTGCGCCTTCTCTTCGGAACACACTGATGGTCAGGTTCTGGGGTGCATCTGATAGATAGACATAATTGTTTTCAGAGGCAGGAAGGTGGGTGTTGGCCCTTTTCTCCAGGAAACTTCAGAAATGAGAAAGGTGTGGAGTCGGGTGTTTTCTTTCCTTCCTCCCCAGGATTCCAGACCCTGCCTCCCCCTCCCCAACACCCACAGCCCTCAGGGACCCTGGCGTTCTGGCCTGGCACTCACAGGACACGTTGAGCTGGATGGTCCTCTCTGTGCTCACACCAGCTCCGGGGAGGGTCACCCGACAGGTAAGGTTGGTGCCGTGGTCCTGGGGCCTCGGGGTGAGGGTGAGCACGGAGGAGTGGCGAGTCTTGGAGCCCCTGGAGGTGAGGGCGGCCCCGATCCAGGAGAAGGTCGGGGGTGTCCCCCTCTTACAGGCCCATGGCACACTACAGGTAATGTTCTTGGGGTGGTCAGATTCTAGGGGCCCCTGGGTGTGGATGTCAGGTATCTGTGTCAGAGCTGAGGAGGAGAGAGACAGAGATCCTGGAGTGGGACCCTGAGTGTGCCCCTGGAAGCAGCCTCTACCCCAGGGCAGTCGTCTCCTCCCCAGCCAGGATGGAGATCAGGGGGGTCCCTTCCCAGCCCTGCCCCAGGAGCCCTCAGGACCCATGCATGGGACATGTGTCCTCTCCTGGACCCCGTTCCTTACCCGTCACACGCACGGAGAGCTGGTTTTGTATGTAATTATATTGCACATAAGGCCCTCTCTCCACCCTGAAGAAGTATGTCCCCGAGTCCCTTCTCTGTGCATCTCTGATGCCCAGGGAGCAGTTGTAGCCCCGGGGGCCCCCGAGGAGGTGGAATCGGCCCTGGGTCTCCTCCTGCACTTCTCGATCTGGGTTGTTTGTGGCCACTAGAACATGCTGGCTGTAATCACTCCCTTCCTGGAACCAGTAGCCATAAGCTGGGTCACCGTCAGTGTATTCGCGTTCGGGGTAGGAGAAGCTGCAGGGCACATGCACACACAGGCCCTCCTGCACCTCCATGGTCCCCGGCACTTTCAGCCAGAATCCTGAATGCTGAGCCAGGGGCCCTGTGGGGAATCAAAAGTCAGCAGCAGCCCCCGCCCGCCTGGCCCCCTCCCCTCGGCCCACTCACCTGCCCACAGCAGGGGCAGCAGCAGCGGCAACAGCTTTGGGGTAAGAGTCATGGTGCTTTTGTGTCACAGGACAGAGAGGAAGCCCAAGTAGGAAGCCCAGGGCTAATGTCTGAAAGGTGACTGACCACAGAAGAGGAAGTTGGCGCTGACACGCTGTTGATGACAGCATGGACCTTGAAGATTTACCACTCCTACTTTCCAGATAGGGTCCCCACCATCCACCGCCCCCCACCCCCAGTCCCTGTCCGTGGCCTCTGTTCCTACCAGGAAGGCAGACACTACCTGGCCAATTACAGCTTCTAGAAGCCCCAGAAGGTCAGTCCTTCCAGTTGTGGGACACAGCAGGGGTGAGCAGGGGAAACTTGAGGCATGAAAGATGGGGGTGGGTTCCCCCCATGCCAGGTGAGGGAGGTGATGTATAATTAATCAATGAGCATGAAACCTGCATCATGAACATCTCCTCCTTTTAGGGCCATGGAGTCAAAGGGGAAAGGGACAGACTCTGTCTCTGTTCTTCAGAACTTCCCTAACACCCAAGGAGATGGAGAAACTCCAGGCTGCAACAGCTCCTATTGGTACAGTGTGAGCTGGTAGAAGCATAGGCAGGGGCGCCTGGGTGGCTCAGTCATTAAGTATCTGCCTTCGGCTCAGGTCATGATCCCAGGGTCCTGGGATTGAGTCCCACGTCGGGCTCCCTGCTCGGTGGGAAGCCTGCTTCTCCCTCCCCCACTCCCCCTGCTTGTGTTGCCTCTCTCGCTGTGTCTCTCTGTCAAATAAATAGATAAAATCTTCAAAAAAAAAAAAAAAAGAAGAAGAAGAAGAAGGAGGAGGAGGAGGGATTATGACACAGACACGCACAAACACGAGACCACATAAGCGCAGGGTGGGGAGCCAGCCACCTACAAACCAAGGAGAGAGGCCTCAGAAGGAACCAGTTCTGCCCACAACGTCTGGCCTCCAGAGGTGTGAGAAAACAGACTTCTGTTAGTTAAGCACCAGGTCGGTGTAGTTTGTTATGTTAACCCCAATAAACCAATGCATGGGGTTTTCAAGAAGACGGATGTGTTCATACAGGTCAAGTGCTCTGTGCAGGCGGTCTGGCCCACCCTGGACACAGTCCACATGGTGGCCAGTTTGTAGGATGGGGCGGCCACTGCAGGGACGGAGGGGAAGGGAAGGGACAGGTTTGGTGATTGGAGGAAACATCTGCTGCTCTTCTGTGCTCTGATCTCTGCCTTCCTCTTACTTAATCCCGGGCACACTTCTTCTCTCCCCAGGACAGGGCGGTGTCCATGGACCTCTGCTCCAGCTGGCCTCTCTGCTGGCTGAGCCCGTCCTCCTGCATCCTGCACGCCTGTCTCCCATTTGTTGAGTGGTGGGTCCTGGGGGCTGGGCTGAGGTAAGGCTGACCTTGGTCTAGTGGTCTATTTGGCCTGAGAACCGGGGTCCCAGTCTTCCCAGGGCAAAGCTCCCAGCATGAGGAGCCAATGGCTAACACCTCGCCTTTTGTGGCTGTGGTGGAAGTTATGTATGAGTGTGTCTATGGTGTGTGTGTATTTCTTTGGTCTGTGTACATATGTGTGTGTGTCCTGTGTTTGCGGCCTGTGTGTACCTGTCTGAGGTATGTGTGTGTGCACTTTCTCTGTGTGTATTTTGAGGTGTGTCTGTGTGTCTGTATGTCTGAAGGACACATGTGTCTGTATGTCTGTGTCCTCTGTGTGTGCGTATTTGAATTGCTTGTAGTGTCTGCATAAGTGCCCATTTCTCAATGACAATATCCGTAGACAACATACTGGAGAGTATAATCCATTTCATATTTCCTCTGTCTCTTTCTCTTTTGTTTTTCTTCAAACTCCTTATCACAAATCAACATAACATATGGTCTACTTAATTATTCTTTGTCTCTCCTGCCATTAAAATATAAGCTTCACAAGGGATCTTGTATCTCCCATTTACTGCTGAATCCTCTCTGGCTAGAAAAATGCTTGGCATACATTAGGTGATCAATGAATATTTACTTTAAGAATTGTAAGGATATTAGGACGCCCAGCTGGCTTGTTGGTGGAGCATGTGACTCTTGATCTTGGGGTTGTGGGTTCAAGCCTCATGTTGGGTGTAGAGATTACTTAAAAATAAAATCTTTATTTAAAAAAAGAGTTGTAAGGATATTTAGAATAAGCAAAATAAGATTTCTGGCTGTCTCCAATGAAAAAGTATGTATTCTTTAGAGCAAAGCCTTCTGGGGTTATCTGACTCCAGCATTTTATTACCTTTGAACTATTTTAAATGCTATAATTTATAGATAACTAATAGCAATGCAAATAATTCTTGTCCATAGACATACATATACATTCTGTCTGCTGGTGGGGGGACTTGAATCCCCCCACCAAGCCACTTTTACATGCATTCACAAATTCATTTCAATATTCCCTTACTCCATATAAATTTGGGCATCTTTAATTTCTGCCCTGGTTCCCTCATTCATAATGAGTTAAATAAAATGGGGAGTTGCTGTTCAATGGGTATAAAGTTTCAGTCCTGCAAGGTGAAAAATTTCTAGAGATCCTCTGTATAGTACAGTACTTATAGTTAACACAAATGTATACTTAAAATTTTGTTAGGAGGATAGATCTGATGGTATGTGTATTTTTGCCACAACAAAAAAATCTTCAACACATGTTTATTTTATATCTATGAGGGTCATGATGTTACCTTAAAAAAAATCTTCCTTTGATAAAATAAACAAACAAATTTGTTTGCGCCTCTGTGCATGTGTTGGCTTTTTGGCTTGTGGCGCATTCTAGGTATTAGAACCTGGTCCCTGCCCCCTGAGCCAAATAAGATGGACCATGTAACTGCTTGAGTTCATCTTAAAGGATTTTGTTATTTCCACTTGGGCAACTGGGAACCAATGGAAGGTTAGAAGCTGAAAATGACTCTTGGGTTTTAGAATTCCCTCTTTCTTCCCTGTGGAAAACATATTGGGGGTGGGCAGAGAGCAGGTGAGAAGATGAATTTCCTTGACTGTGTATTTATGTTTCCAAGATAGAAAGTAAGTCCTTGGAGGCAAGAATGTGCATTTCTCACAAGCAGTGTAGACTTGCTTCACACACAATAATGATAAATTTCATAGTAGGTGATAAATACGTGTCAAGTGGCAGTTTTTACATAAAGGTAAACACACAAATGGCAGAATCTTGCTTAAAGTATTGTTTTAATTTTGGTTAAAAAAATTACATATAGGTGACTTTCCTCTCCTTGCATCTACTCACTCACAACCATAGGAAAAAGTTTGGAAGACCAGAAGTGACAGGTGAACAAAAATTTGTTTATTTGCTTCTTCGTGTAGGGGCAGGGCAAAATCAGCGAAGTGCTTCCCTACTGTGTGGAGGTGGGTTAGGGGTGAGGAGAGAGGTTTGGGAGACAATGAACACAATGCTCCCATGCCTGGCGCCTCTCTTTGGGATCTCATGTCCAGGACATTCCCCCAACCTAAGAGACAAAGCAGCTCAAATTTTTCTCATCCTTCCTTTTCTAGAGGTCTCCAACCCTGTCAGGGAAAAGCCGAGTGAGGTCAGTGTCCTGTAGAATGCCAGCTCTGGGGGTGACCAATGGTGAACAGTGTTCTGATGTTTGGGGGACTCAGATAAGGGGTTGCCTGGGGAGGAGTCTGATCACTCGGTGTAGTAGACCCTGGAGGGACCATAGGGGAGGGGGCTGGTGGAAGTCAGCCTCCATGCAGACATTCCTGAGCAGGGGGAGGACCAGAAAAGGAGGAACACAAATGGGGGGATGTTGGATGGGCATGAAGTTCCTCAACAGGACCCAGGCTTCCTGCCACTTACCAACTCTGGGGCTCAAGACAGCCTGAGCTAGTAACTGCAAGAGTTGCCTGGGCAGAGGTGGGAGCCTTGGAGTGGTTGAGACCACCTCTCAAGGGACGGGAAGCCTCCAGACAGAAATGTGATAAAACATGGAAAGAGGAAAACCCATCCCAGACTGAAAGAGTGGCAATCAATTCAAATGGAGAAAGAAAAAAAAATCTTGAAGTTATTCAGGCTTGGTAGGAAGACAGTTACAAAACAAATGGAAGCATTTCTCCCAAGGTCTTAACAACAGCTCTAAATGCCATAAAGACCTCCTCTTTGAGTGATTAACACTTTCTTTCCAACAACGCCCCAAGATTTGCCTTGTTATTCCCTCTAATTACTGTGGACACCCATGCCTAAACCTCACCTCAGGACAGTACCCAGTCCCTGGTTAACACCTTCGGGGAGCAAAAAGCCCAAGTCTGAGGAGGGAAGCACACCCTACAAGGTCCCAGACACCCCTGACCAGCATCATTGACTTAGGATGTCACCAGATCCTTCCACAGGCTCCTCCACTCTGCACTGATAAATGGTTGGCCCTCTGGGGGCTCTCCATCCCCCAGGAAACACCGACCCCTGGAGAGTCCCAGGCGGTGGAGCGGGTGCTGTCCGAGGTGCTGAAACAGGGTTGGGCTTTGAACTCAAGTACCTCCCAGCTCCGCAGCAGGGCCCGACCCCAGAGGCTTATGTCCGGATTTGGGGCCAGGAGGGGAAGGGGGTGGGGATGGATGGAACCAGGGAAGCAGACAATCAGGAGCGGGTAGTGCTGGCCTCCTCTCTCTTCTCCACCTGCTGCCTCTCCTGTTCACTCTCAGTATTTTTCCTCCTGTGGACGATGTCTGTCTGCACCATCTGGCTGAGCTTTCTTGCTAAGGCCCTCTGCTTCTGGCCTTTTGTACTGTTCCTTTAAATAGCTTCCTTCATCACACACACACACACACACACACACACACACACACACACACATCTTCTGAAAGTGAGGAGGCTAGTCTTCCCATTTGACAAAGAAGAAAACTTAGGATCAGGGTCAGGAACATTAGACAGTATGCGTGGATCTTTTTCTCCATTTCTGTCCACCTGCTCCAGTGCCTCAGGGCAGGAGAAGATATCTCAAGTCCGAAGGAGAAGGTAAGTGTTTCTTGGACACGTATTTCTGGCTCCAATTGATCCCCCTTGCTGGTGGTGTCGGGCCTGCCTGATTGTCAAAAGGGCTCCCCTCCATCCAGGAAAGAAATGGCC